TTCCATTCAAGTAGATGTCAACATTCTGCTCTAACAAACACTTTTTTTTTTTAAATTAAATCATAGCAGTGTACATTAATACTATCATGGGGTACAGTGTACTGTTTCTGTATATAATTTGAAATACTTTCATCCAACTGGTTAACATAGCCTTCATGTCTTTTTCTTAGTTATTGTGTTAAGACATTTATATTCTACATTTAGAGAGATTCACATGTACCCTTATAGGATGAACCATAGGCGTGATCCCACCAATCACCCTCCCTCCACCCCCATCCCCTCCCCTCCCTCTCCCCTCTTCCCATATTCCTGGGCCAAAATTGGGTTATAGCTTTCCTATGAAAGCTATAAATTAGTTTTATAGTAGGGCTGAGTACATTGGATACTTTTTTTTCCATTCTTGAGATACTTTGCTAAGAAGAACATTTTCCAGCTCCATCCATGTAAACATGAAGGAGGTAAAGTCTCCATCTATCTTAATGGCTGCATAGTATTCCATGGTGTACATATACCACAATTTATTGATCCATTTGTGGATCGATGGGCTCTTGGGCTTCTTCCATATCAGAATGTTCATTGCAGCCCAATTAACAAACACTTTTCATTTTTCTTATTTTTGTACAAATCAACACTCTTGTCAGCTCTCCATCTGTCTCACCCATAGTTACACCATGATCTCTTAGCCTCTGACATGGGTTCCATGGCTCAAGACATCCTGATTGCCACTCCAGCCTTGCTGCCCAGTATGATAATTATGGCAATTGTCCCTCATAACTTAGTATGCAATCTGGCCTCTGCCCTTACATTGCCTTCCGTTAGTACAATGATGTCAGTTTCCCCACATCTCCCCTCATTGAACTCTACCTTCAGAAAGTAGCTAATGCTGAACTTATCAAAGATGCACCAGGACTTTTTCTTTCTGTCTCAGTGAAGAAAATGTTTTCTGGACCATCCTGAGGAACATAGTCAAGTGGTAGGTTCTCAGCTGTTATGATTCTAATATTTATGCTTCCTTGAACATTCTGGCGTTTTTCTCTTTATTAGGCCAAAAGAGTTCTGGAATCTCACTTTAATTATAATAGGCTATTGTTATGAAAATAGGCATTATATTTCAAGGTACTCACCTCAACCAGGTCATTATGGTCCCCAGGCCAAGAAGAGCTGCTCTATTCTAAATGGGGTTTTGTTTGTTTGTTTTTAGAGATAGAGTCTCACTTTGTCACCCTCCATAGATTGCCATGGTGTCACAGCTTACAGCAACCTCCAACTCCTGGGCTTAGGTGAGTCTCTTGCCTCATCCTCCTGAGTAGCTGGGACTACAGGCACCCACCACAATGCCTGGCTAGAGCTACTCTGTTCTAACAAGAGGAAAAGAGTTGCTTCTACTTGCTGTAGGATTTATGAATATTTGGGGGTCCAAAATTTTCAGTCTTATCAACTCAAATGTCTCTATTTCAGATCACAAGGTCCAACTCCTTCCTTATCAGAGCCCTGACTTAGACATAAGACACCTATGTAGCTGCACATTTAGTCTTTTTTTCAGCTCTGTCATACTTATAATCAAATCTGGAGTTTGATTTTCATGCAATCTCTTTTGTGGATGTTAAGAATGTCCTAAAATTTTTCACAAAATATTACAAGACCTTAAATACTGTCCAAAAAAGCTACCTAAACCCAATGCAGCAGCCACTCGATTTCATAAAGCCTTTCTCTCTCTCTCTCTCTCTCT